ACCTGATGTTTAAGACCACAGGCTCTGGGGCAGGCAGACCTCTACTGTGCTGTGTGACCCTGGGCAAATGACTCCCCCTCTCTGAGCTGCAGGTGCACATCTGTAAAATCAGGTAGAATAAGCCGCCCTCCCCGATAGATGGAGTGTCGATCCCATGAGCTAGAGCCATGAGGCTCTTAGCACGTCCCTGCCCTGAGAGGCAGCAACCGCGCCCTTCAGGCCGGAGGGAGCGGCCAGGGTCACCGTGTCCCGGCGTGGTCCTGCGTGTGGAGGGGCCGGGCAGAGATTCCAAGAGTGGCCTGGCGGGCTTGCGGGCCGCCGCCTGTGCCGTGTCAGGCGGCGGGTGATGGATCGGCTCGGACACACTCGACAATAGCTCGCAGACACTCTATTACCCGGTGATTGTCTGCCCGGCGGCCCCTCTCGGCCGCGCTGCCACAGATAATGGCCCAGAACAAAGATGGCAGCTGCTTTGCAGGGGAACAGATTTGTGGCAAGTTGAGATAAAATAAAGAGGAAGGAGAAAGGGGAGAGGAGACAGTGGCGGGGGTGTGGGGCGCGGGGGCGCAGAGAACATAAAAGGAAGAAAGAGGGAGAGAACGGAGGGACTGAAGCCGCGGCGTCTCGGGGAGGGAGGTGTGGCGGGGCTCGGGCCGGTGAAAGAAAACCCGAGGGCTGGCTTTGTCCAATAATAATGACGATAATGATGGTGATAATAATAATGAGGATAATGTGCTGCAAGCGCTTGGTGCTGTCCGTGGAAAGGGCCCCGATTGCTTAGGCCGAGTGGCTCGTTTCCATCTGTCTTTGCTCATAAGTCGCCGTGGCTCCTGCCGCCTGCCTGGGGCCTTTGGTGGGGGTCCAGGCTGTGAGGTCCACCCCAGTTAGGTGTCCAGTTTTCAGCTTCCATCCTTCTAGGCTCAAAGAAGGTAGAAGGAGGGGCCAGTGGGTAAGGGCTCTCATTCAGCAGGGGCAGCTCTTTTTAAAGAGCCCCCCAAGCCCCCCACTCTGACTGCAGTTGACATCTCATTGGCCCGTCTAGCTGCAAAGTAAGCTGGGAAATGCAGTCGATCCAGTGAGCCCAGTGCCGCCCGGAATAAAAGCCCGGTGCCTCAGCAAGGGAGACGGGGGAACGGATGCTGGGTGGCAGGTAGCTGACTCCACCACTGGGGCTGCGTAAGGAGCATTTAGTGAGCATTTATTATGCATCTTGACCGGTAGAGCCTATGTAATCCTCACCTAGAAAAGAGGCAGCGTGACCACCCATTTTACAGACAGGGCAACTGAGGCTCAGAGAGCTGAAGTGACTGCCAGGGCCACACAGGACAGTCCCATGCCAAAGTCCATCGGCATGGTCCAGATTTCTGGTGATTTCTCTTCCTTTATGCAGAATTAAAGGAGGGAGAAGGGTAAGAGCAAACTTGGAGGAGGCATGGACTGAGGGCCGACAAGGGGTGACGCTGACCATGTGACAATAATATGCACTGGTCACTTCCACTTCTTAAAAAATATGTTTTTTTAATTGATTTTAGAGGGAGGAATAGAGAGGGAGATAGAAACATCGATGAAAGAGAAACATCAACATTGATCAGCTGCCTCCTGCACGCCCCCTACCAGGGGTCAAGCCTGCAACCCGGGCATGTGTCCTGACCGGGAATCAAACCCGTGACCTCTTGGTGCCTGGGTCAATGCTCAACCACTGAGCCACACCAGTTGGGCCACTTCCACTTTTCAAACTTCCTGCCTAATATCTCGCTTGAAGTTTGCAGCTGCCCGTGAGTGAGTGAGTGAGTGAGTGAGTGCAGCTATCTGCAGCTTCGTTGAACAGGTGGGGAACCCAGACTATCACCCCAAAGGTGAAGGGATCAACCAGTCAGGCCTGGACCTGTATTTGCTCATGTTGCTTCCTGGTCCTGCCATACCACTTTCTCCTTCTTCTTCCCTGCCTAAAGGGATGTCCCTTCCTCCAGGAAGCCCTCCCAGCTTTCTCTGCTTCCTCCTGGGCTTGCCCATACCTGGGAGAGCACTGGCCCTGTGAAGGGCTATGAGCACCTGGATGGCGGGGGTTATGTGCCCCGGCCAACCTGCACAGCCCTGGGTTTGCAGCGGGGATGGAACACCTCCACTATCGGGCTTAGAGGACATGAACCCCACCAGCAGGGCGACCTTGGGAAAAATCACTGCACCCCTCCAAGCCCCGGTCTCCTCATCGGTCGGCTGGGGGTAATGATCTGCCTGCCTCGACTGTGAGGGTGAGACGAGGGAACGGGCGCCGAGAGCAGCACGGAGCTGGCCGGAGTAAGTGCTCAGCCAGCGTTACCTCTGCAGCGACGGGGGCAGCTGGGTGGCTCAGCCAAGGAGGCCGCCTGAACCATGTACTCAGAGCAGAGCCTGGAGGCGGAAAGTATTCTTAATCCATCAGACCTCTGGTCCCCGCAGCCTCTGGCTTTACCCATGATCCCTCCTCTTTGGGGCTGTTTCCTAAAACCTTCCTGCCCCAGACCAAGTGTTATGACCCTGGTGGGGTCTGAGCAGAAGAGAGCTGGTGGCGAGGTGGGGGTGGGGGCGGGGGAGGGGAAGAATATATCCCCCCAAGTGTTTGACCAACAAAGTCTAGCTGAACCCACCAGCCCGGGGGGTAAACTGCTCTGAAAGACGCAGGAGTCTCGCCATCTCTTCGAAGCGGTGGGGCCTGGCCTGCGCAGGGTGTGGGTCTGCACTGCACAGCCGCGGGGACCGTCACCGTAGATCGAGGCTTCAGTGCCTTGGCCTTTCGCTAACCTTTGCGCCATCCAGGCCAGCACTTCAACACTGGAACAAATTTCACTAATTTATTGAGAGAGAGAGAGAGAGAGAGAGAGAGAGAGAGAGAGAGAGACATCAGTTTGTTGCTCCTGTATGAGCTCTGATCGGGGATCTAACCAGCAACCTTGGCTTATCAGGCAGATGTTCTAACGGTTAGAATCTAACCAACTGTGCTCCCCGCCCCCCCCAGGGCCATGTGTGGCCCTTTTAACCAAACTAGTGTGAGGAGGGGCTGCCTAAGCCCCTGAGGTGCACCGGCCCCGAGTCTAAAGCAGCCCTGTCCGGCAGAAATAGGACAGGGCGGGGGGCACACACCAGTCCCAGCGTCCACGTTCTCAAAGGTAAGAGGAAGCAGGTGGATGAACTTTAACATTCATGGTTTAACCCCACACCCCAGGTGCTTTCATTTTAACCTGCAATCAGTACAGAGATTCCTTTAAGGAGATATTTCACATTCCCTTTTTGTTTTGTTTTTCCCTATCAAGTCTTCAAAACATTGCGTTTACCGCAATGGGAATTGGGGCTCGCGCAAGTCAAGAGCCCCAGGGAGTGTGGCTACCGTGGTGGGCCATGCAGTCCTAGAGGGAAGCGCTGTTTGCACCTGCCCATAAACCAAGTCGTTTTAGTTTGTTTTTTTAATTTAAATTTTATTTAAAAAAATTTTTTTAAAGTGCTGTAGTCCATTCCCTATAGATTCCCACCCTCTCTCTATAGAGACTGAATATACATGTATAGACTGAATATATAGTTATATGTTTAATACATATAATGAAGCTATTGAACCAGAGCATTCTTTGATCCTGAATTGTTGGGCGATTATTTTGTCCAGAGGATCGGGGCTGCTGGGCCACATTCGAGAGAAGTTGGGGTGTCCTTGTCACCCCAGAGCCAGAGCTCAGCGCCTGCCTCCTCTGTGCAGGAAAAGCTATCTACGGCCCAATGCTGTGAAATTTGCCGCCGCAAGAACAGCTAATTTTTCACACCCAGACGCACTGGCTGGGTTTGTTAAAGCCCAAGATAATCAAATAATCATTATAACTCATCTTCGCCCTCCTGTCTTCGCTCTTTGTACCATTAATGTCCCGGCGGGGAGCCGGGCCGGGGAGGCAGCCAGGGCCTGTTTAGATAACCTTCCCGCGGCCGCTGAGAGCAAGGCTCCCTCCCGGAGAGGCTCACAACAAATGAGCCAGCCCCCTAATCTCCTTATCCGCAGCCTCTGCTCCAGGCCTGTTATCTCCCGGGCTTGCAGAGGGGAGATTTGTACATATATATTTATGTTTCATACAGATTGCTATAAACGTGTGTGTATGCGGGAAATACCAAAGAGGAGAGGCCAGGCAGGAAGTGAGCCCTTTTCTCTGTCTCCTAGTGAGACTGCCCGGCTGGGGAGGCCCCGGAGGGGGGCGGTCCCCCTGAGGAGGCCAGTGTGGTCACCTGCCTCCACCCAGCGGGGCCCTGTGGCTGGATGGGGAGGGAGCACCTCCCGACAGGACCTGAGCTCAGGGTCTGGCCTGGTCAGTGGGGGCCGGGGAGCAGCACCTGACTCCCCTGGGGACCCCCCTCCCCCTGGCATGGAGGTTCCCCCATTTCATTCTCTTTCCTCGGTTTCCCTCCCTCGCTGCCGGCTGCTTTTCTTCTCTCGGGGATGAGTGTGTTGAAGCTCTTTTGCAACTTCTGTCTCATCCTCTCCCTCTCCATTTCCCCCTCCCTTCTCTCTGTACCTGTGTCTCTCTCCTGTGCTTTTATTTTCCTGTGTCTCAATTGGTGTCTCTTCTTTTTCTGTCGCTCTCTAACTTCTCTCTTCCTCTCCCACCTTCTCTGCCAGCCCCTCCCTGCATTTCCCTCTTTCTCTCCCTCTGCGCCACCTGCCCCAGCCTCTCCTCACACTCAGGTTCTCCCCCTCACCTCCCCCTGCATCCCTCCCTCACCGGCCCCATCATCAGTCTCACCTCATTCCTCCCTTACTTTCTGATGACTAAATTCTTAGCCAAGGAATGGAGAGAGAGACAGGGAGGGAAAGAGAAAGAGAGAGAAGCAGAGGGGGGAGAGGGAGAGAGGGAGGGAGAGAGGGAGGGGGAGAGGGAGAGGGAGAGGGAGAGAGAGAGAGAGGAGACGCGTCTTCTAGATAAATCATTTCGTCACATGAAGAGCTAATCTGCAAGTGACGGTGGCTATTTATCGAGTTTTTAGCGCGCATGCTAAGTAGCGATAGGGAGGCCACATTCACCAAACCCCATCAGAGCCTGCGAAGGGCTCCTTAACTTCATTGCCCAGAAAGAAAAATGCTGAGGACGGAGATAAGACTGCAGCGAAGCTCTGGCCCTGAACCGTCAGCCGAGAAGTTAAGCAGGTAGCCCAGCCCCCTCCTGGCCTTCCAGCCCCAGCCCCAGCCCCACCCCCTCCCCAAGCCCCTTCTGTTTTATAGCCCAGCCAGACCCGTGCGGGCTGCACGCAGCTGCTACCGCTAAGTGGGTCTCCGCAGGCCAGAAACCCTGGCTCCCCGTGCCTCAGCTTCCCCACCCCTCCCTCCCACAGAGTGCTCAACACCCGACAGGGAAAAATGATCAGCTCTGATCTAGGAAGAGCAACGTTCGGAATCCAAATCCATACTAACGTTTCAAGTAAAATGACAAAATCCTTCCAAAGTGTTTTTTCACGGAGTTGTCTTCAGTGTGGGCTGCAGGTGCGTTTTAATGTGTTAGAAATGCCGGGGGTGGGGAGGGGAGGGGAGGGGAGCTCCTCCCTGCTCGGAACCCTGGGAGTTCTTAAAATAGCTCTGACGCTCCTGCTGCTAATAAAAATAATGACAAGAAGGCGCGCTTCCTTGTGTTTGGAGTGTGTGCCACGTGGGGACGGTGCTGGGTGTTCTTAGCTTATTTACTTGTCTCCACCCCCCCCCCCCCCCCCCCGACCTCCGAGAGGTCAGCTGAGTTTTTGTGCCTCATGGGGTAGTTGAGAGCAAAGACGCGGAATTTAGAACAGGAGGAACTGCAGCTCAAAATAACCCCATCTGTGGGCCCAGGGCCAGGCTCGGAGGCCTCTCCCCTAACAGGGCCCCGCCGGGTGCCGGGAGCCTCACGTGGGGGCAGGGAGGTGCCGTTAGAGCTGCCCAGAGGGACCTGCATGCTGTGCCAGGTGGGGAGCTCCCCGTCCACTGGAGGCAATCAAGCTCACACATCCTAAAAGGAATTCCTACGTTGAGCACGAAGGTGGATTGGATTCTGGGGTCAGACTGACCGGGATTTGAATCCTGGCAATACCCTGGCTTCCTTGCCCTCAGCGGCCCATGCTGCCGTCTCCCGGGCGGCCCCAGGGGGAACGAACCCCGGTGCCCACAGCAGTCGCCGGCTATTGGTGTGACCTGTGTCTGTCTCTTCTTCCTGCCTTGCTGTCTCTCTCCCTCCCAGCCCCCAAAGGCAGCACTTGCTCCCAGTGCTGGGATCTGTGTGGGGGGAACCCAGCCGGGGACAGCGCTCACATCTGCATGTCGCAGAGGCTCCTGAATCCACCGCGAGCGAAACATTTTCTCACCTTTTTACATTTACAGCTCTGCTCGGCACTGTGAAGAGAGGAGGAGCGTGCAGGGAACTGCAAAGTACCTTTCACCCTAGTCTCAGAGGGGTGGACGATGAGGAGAGAGCTGCAGGAAGATGGGTTGACAGGGGGGTAAAGGGCCCCCCGGCCCTGCTGGGGGAGGTGTATGGTACATTTTGTCAGAGAGTGAGGGGGGCAGATGCCCCCCCAACCTACTGTGTGATCTCTGGGAACTCACATCACATCCCTGAGCCTCAGTTTCCCCATCTGTCAAATGGCCCAACGCCACCTGCCCCCTCCCGCCACTTCTGCAGAATGGGATGTGGAAACTTAGAGGTTCAAATGGGAGAGGCGCCCTGGGAATGGGACCCATGATGACAACCATGTACCTTTTAGTGGCCGCTGGCTGAGTACCTGCCCTTGAGGCACCATAAGGCCCTGCTTTGTTCACTGAGTTTTCTCCAAGCCCTTGCCCTCAGGGACTGACAATCTCGTGGAAGAGAGTATCAAAGAAACAAATCCACAAATAGCTACAACGTATATAAGCACAGTGATGAATTTTGTGAAAAAATAAAGCAGAATAAGCAGACAGTATGGGAGAGGGGCATACTTTAGATCTGACCTCCGAAGCAGGTAGAAAAGCCCACTATTGGGAGAAGAGCAAGCCAGGCAGAGCAAACAGTAGGTGCAAAGGTCCTGGGGCAGCATGAGGCCAGTGTAGCTGAGACCCAGTAAGCAAGGCAAAGTGGGAGGTAATAGGAGTGGAGATCAGAGAGGCTGTGGGGGTGCAGAGCTCACAGGGCAGGGTGGGCCTAAAGTGACGAGTTTGGCTTTTAATCAGAGTTAACCAGGATTTGGACGTCGAAGCTGGGTGGATGACGACATCGGATTTATATTTAAGGGTCATCCTGGCTGCTGCCTGGAGAACGGCCCATCAGGGGGCAAAGCAGAGGCAGGCAGGCGAGGGATGAGTCCCTTCCCTCTCTAGCCCACTCCCAGCCCGTGGGATTGGCCCCTGCTTCCCACGTATGTCCCTCTGATGCCCAGTCCTCAGGCCCCGTTCTGGCCAGGGAGTGACGGGCTGCAAATGAGTGGGCAGGCAAGCGCCTCTAATTTCCACAAGCGCCGTGGGTAAAGGCTGTGGCAATGTGCAATTAAGCTCGGAGTTTTAAAAACATGGTAATAAGGGATACGGGCCGAGGAGGCAGCCTGGTAATTTAAGTGATATCCAGCTCGAATATGGAGTGTCTAAATGTTCTCTTCCGAAGATTTATATCGGCGTAGACCTGCCTCGTTCATTTATTTAGTTAACTAGCTACCTATTGGCACGGCCTCCCAGCCGCTCTCAGGCGGAAGACAGAGGCCTTGGTGGCCGTCGGGGGCATCTTTGGGCAGGGTTGGCCCCCCCACCCGGGGGGGTATAGGGTGGAGATAATGACAACAATGACCATTGGCTTGTGCTGAAGGCCTACTGTGTGCCTTGCATTCACAAATCTAGTGTGAGAATTAGAAGGGATGATATAGGAGTCTGTGTGAAGAACCTCCCGTGCACATGAGGAAACTGAGGCAGGGGGAGGAGAAATGACTTGTTCAAGGTCACGCAGCTAGGGCACGGGATAGAAGGCAGGGCTCTGTGTACCAAAGCAGGGCTTTGCCGTGACCTAACATTGCATGTCGGTTCCTTGCTTCTGGTCCTGGCATGCATAGCTGCTCCCCACCTGAGGGTGGTGCCGCCTCGGAATTCACCTGAGGGCCCGGCACTCAAAGTCCTCACCGCCTTCGGACCCTCCCACCTGCGTGGGGCTTTACAGCTCACACAGGCGGGCCCTCCAGCTCCCATGCCTCTAGGGCCGAGCAAGGTGATGTTTGGAAGGAAAATCAGAGGCCCCCTGGCCGGGCTTTCTTTAGTTTTTCCCGTATGTTGGAGACATGGACGTAAGGAGTATGCCGCTCTGCCTCTGCATAAGGAAACAGCAGTGAGCCTGGCCCGTGTGGCTCAGTGGTTAAGCATTCACCCATGAACCAAGAGGTCACCGGTTTAATTCCCGGTCGGGGCACCTGCCCAGGTTGCAGGCTCCATCCCCAGTAGGAGGCCTGCAGGAGGCAGCCAGTCAATGTTTCTCTCTCATCCTTGATGTTTCTCTCTCTCTCCCTCTCTCTTCCTCTCTCTGAAATCAATAAAAACAGTAAAAGAGAGAGAGAGAGAGAGTGGATGTAACAGATCAAATACAGTGAGAACAAAGTAATGTTCTGAGAACAGACCATTCTAATGAGAGTTTGGTGGAGGCTCCAACCCCAATTTCGCTCTTTGTTAAAGAGGGAGCTAAGCAAGCACATCCCTGCCTCCCCACCGCACAGCCACTCACACTTGGATGGACCCAGGCCAACCGAGGTCACCCAAGGACATGCACAAGAACAGGTGTGGAGCTGTATTCACAGGAGTGCCACGCTGGGAACGGTCCCCATGTTCAGCAACAGGACAATGGGTAGTACACAGGGTGCGTTCCTTCCATGGCACATCGCACGGCAGTGAAAGGGGATGGACCACAATCCGCCACAGCACCCTGGCCTGCATGCGAGTAACACTGAGTGGAAGGAGCGGGGCCAGGAGGCTCCGTGCTCGTCCATCCCCTGATGGGCGGTAGATAAACGCGGTCCATTTCACAGTGGAATCAGACTCAGCCTGAGAAGGAATGAAGCTTCACACGAGGAACTTCGGGAACATGGTGCTGAGTGAAAAGGGTCAGACGCAAAAGGCCACGTAGCATGTGACTCCATGCACATGACGTGTCCAGAACAGGCAAGTCCAGAGAGACAGGAAGCAGCTGGGTGGCTGCCAGGGGCTGGGGGCAAGGGGTTTGGGTGTGGGGTCCATGAAGGCTGAAGGAAACAGGTTTCTTGTTAAGGTGATAAAATATTCTAAAATGGACTGACGTTCAATAAGAGGCAAAACGGGTCCTTGAGGAAAGGAAGTCAGAGTGGTGGGTCCGCTTGGTGAGGGGATGGACGGGGGCTCCCCGGGCTGGGAATATTCTACAACTGGGTCTGGTTATAAGGGGGAGCACCTCGCTGGCTGGGTGACCTTGGGCCAGTTACTCAACTCGCTGAGCCTCAGGTCCTCTGCTGTCCAGTGGCGATGACAAAGGTCCCTCCCCCATCGCCTGGTGTGAGGCCTGGGATGAGATGAGGCCTGAAGCCTGCCCTTCTCCAACTTCAGCCTGGACACCAACCACCGGAGGGTTTAAACGCAGCCTCTGATTCGGCAGCTGGGGTGGGGCCGGGACTGCATTCCCAACCCGCTCCCAGGTGAGGCTGCGGCCGCGGGCCTGTGGCCGGGCTGTGAACAGCCAGGCATGAAAGCGCTCGGTACATTGCAAATGCTCCGTAAGTGCAGGCGGTGGTCGGCGGCGGACAAAGACTGGGCACCCCCCTGCCGTAGGTTGTCTTTCCAGGCCCCGCCCCTGCGCACTGCGCCCGAATTCTTTTCTTCCCCGTTTCCCCCAGTCCCTCAGCTCGCCCGCCCACTCGTGCTTCCAGGGCCCGGTCGGGGCAGCTTCCTTCTGCCCAGAGGAGCCTTGGGTAGGTTTGCAGGAACAGCTGCCAGCAGCTGAGCTATAATGACCGCCTGGAGAGTCGTTAAGAGATAATTAATATTTGCAGCCCAGAGCTGTGACTGCTAAGCTGCTCCCGCCCACAGAGCTGGGGCCTCCAGCCCTTCTCGGGGCGAGGACGACCCCAGACCCTCAGGATGGCAGCATCTGGGGGGGCAGGAGGAGGACCCTGGATGCAGGGGCTGGGCCGTGGCCAGTGCGGTCTGTTTGGGGGGTTCTCCCTCCACCCAGCTGCTAGCGTCGGTGACTTCCAGAGGCTGCCGGGCCGGACACAGCGTCAGGAATGGTCAGAGGGCACCGGGGCCAGGGCTCAAGGTGGCCACGGCCCCTCCTTGCACCTGAGGCCCGCTGGCTGGCCTTTGGCGGTTGCCATGGTGATGGCTGGCCCCAGCAGTTGGGCAAGGACGTGGCAGCAGCAGCAGCTGTGTGAGTGCTCAAGAGAGAGAGAGTGTATCAGTTCCCCTCCACTTTCCATCTGCGAGGGGCACACAGCTCAGCCG